ATTTGCATAAACTTTTACTCTGATTTTCTCAGTCAGATTGAATTTTTTTTCAAAAGTTTCTTTAAAACCTGAGCTAATTTACCTTAACGTTTCATAAGTAATATACAATATTCGCGTGCGATCTGTATGAGGATTTAAAACAGCTCGCTTTCAGCTCGCTGTTTTAAATCCTCATACAGATCGCCCGCTCATATTGTATATATTACATAGAACCCTTGAATTTGACGTTAAAAGGCTATTGTAAACAAAATGGACTAATATAATTCTGAAACAATTGGCGCAAAATTGAAAGACTTGCTTTCATCCGACGAAGGATTACAGTCCGGTACGTTAGTTATTTCACCTACTTTTTTACGGTGTTAAAATTCATCTTTTTGCATAACTGTTTCGATTCTTCAGAAACACTGACGCAGCTCATGCTATTTTACCGCTAATTTCCACCATTTTAATTCTAACTGAAACACCTATATTGATAGGAAATGTTCAGCGACACAAGCTAGTACCATTGGAGTTGTAGTCCTCGCACTTTTTAATGTCCCAAAAAACAATCTTTTTCAATAGTTTTTGCTTTATTTTTTTAAACATAGAAGTATTTTTAACGTTTCTACAAAACAAACATTAAAACGGCTTTAAAGGACGAGGACTACAATGCCCAACATGACTTGTCATTGTACAAAATGGCGTCGCTGCACACTGACTTTCCGTTATATCAGCGAGTGTTCAGCAAATGTATCAATTACAACTATTTTCGATATTGTCAGGTGATCCCGAGTGCTACGAATCACCGCAGTTGACAGAAGCTCAACGACAACACTTGCAAAACACAAATAACWCAAGYGATGACGCTGAACARCATATTCCGCGGGCACAACCAAATGAATTWATTGAATYGAGGACAAGAAGCCGTAGCAACGACTGCATACTTATGCTCAATGATGACGTYATTCAAGGCGGTGATGAATTTTATACAGAGGCAATGGATGATTTTAACGATAAACTTGCTAAAACGTTTCAAATAGAATCAAAACCTACGCCCGCGATAMCTAAACCACTACCAACACAGCACAAGCCAAAGCACATGACTGGGCGTGTAACACATCAGCACCCTATGTCACGCAATCCAGGGAATAGTCCTCAGCGTTCGAATAATGCCAAGGCGAATTCACSTCATCAGATGAAACAGGATGTGGKTTTCTCTAAGCAAGCTGCAACGAGAGGGAGTGACTTCGCTCAAGCGAAWGTAAGGCAGTACCAGGCTCAACGCGGAGCCATGAAACAGAGCTCACACAGTGAARTCACAGCCAACCAATCAATGGAAGAGGATTATTATTATCAGATGATGCAATCAYTAGCCAATCAAACACATGAAGAGGAAGAGTTCTATGAAAACCAAGAAATGATTGACGGCTTAAAAAGCACAGGGGGGCCGAAAGATGACGATGAAATCTATGAAAATAAGGAAACCATAAAACGGCAAAGAGCCAACCAATATCGTCAACACATGACCACCGATGAACAGCTGTATATGAACTACTAAAATGATGACGGTCACGTGATCGCAAACAAAGGAATAAGTGCCTGGGGACGAGGTTGAAACGYTTCTGTTGCATCGATGCAACAGAATTTATGCATATTTAGTTTTTATTTATTTCGCACAAAATTAACCTTAAAACAAAATGAATCAAAACCAAATTAACACACAAAAAAACAAGAAGCATTTATTTTAAAATATTAAAAAAGCAAAAATCCTTGATTTTCTGTARCAAGAACCGTCATACCATATATGACATGATATACAGTGAAAATTTTARTGCTGTTCTGTATATAAAGAGGCCTTTTATGAGCTATAGAAAAAAATATTTTTTTGCAGTTCATTGCAATATCACAATGCGAAGGTTCTTTCACTAGTTCGAAGTTTCAGCAGCGAAGAAATGTCAAAGWCTTTCAATAATCGCCTCAAAATTAACCACTTCGATCATAGCATGAGAAATTGTACATTGCTCAGCTTCCTGCCAACAAACAATTGCTTGCTTGAGTATTTACTTTTATTGTTTTTCTGCGCTTATTTAAGCATGACTTCTAAGTATCCGCATTGACTTAACTATAGCTGGAAAATAAAAGTCTTTGGGAAAGTCCCACTGGGAGTTGTTCGGAGAATTTAAGTCGACATTTTCGCATGAAAGTAACTGCAGAATATTATATAAGTTGTCAGTTAGAATTAAGGTTGTTTGTCATCTAACAATACATCTACACTGTGTAAATAAACTTTTAATGCCTAAAAGTGACCAAAATAACTTCTGCATATGCGCACAGCAGTTCAGTTCCCGGGCTTCCTGTGGTATGACGTCWTAAGTGCAGACAATTAGACCCCGGGAAAGTCCCGTTGATGTCGCTTGGAATAAAATCCTTTATTTCCGCATGAAGTTAGAGTACAGCATTAGTCTATGTATTACAACTAAGCAAGATAGCTTGAGCTAAAAGACAATAATTTTTCGTCGCAGCCCATTACAGGGAACAGAAGGTACGTTTATATRAGTTCGGTTTGGTACGGGTACTTTTCTGAYATTATAACTTTTGTTGAGCTTCCGCGGTGATTCAATATTAACGATTTAACCTATTTATTCGCATTGTTTTGATTTTCTTAATCATTTCACTTGTCAAACAACCGAAAGTTTTGAAATTATTACCAAGAGATACTGAGTCGTTAAATTTGAGACATTATGTAAAATTGTAACTTTATACTTAACTTGCTCAATCCGTCAAAACAGTCTGTACATGTTTTAATTTACGTTTCTCTAGTTTTAAAAGCACAAGCTTTATGGCTTCCTAGTTCACTATCACTCGAATGTTTGTGCCTAAGAAGAGACAATTCTAACACTTAAAGGAGTCGGCTCCTTTTATAATGTCAGCTAAAATTTTCGTCTGTGCCTGTGGCTGTGCTTTGGTGAACTGGAACGATACCATTGTGAGGAGCCCTCAGTGTTTTCTTTTGAATTTCGAGCACGTTTACACAAGTTTCTAAGCTCAAAAATAATCAGTATTACATTATGATACTCAAAAACTTTCAATTGAAATTCTRTATTGTGAAAATGAAAATGAGATGGGTTTTTGCGGGGATTTTTTTCCAGACTGAGCGTAAGTTACAATCGTTCAGGGTCAAGAGAGAATATATGCATATGTGTTAGTGTTTATGGCTTCTTAATATACAAAAAGATTTATCCTCTTTGAGCAAATTTCTAGATGTATGAAATAATAGTTTTTATATTTAACAAATGAAGAAGTCGCTTCAGCGAATGGATCGTAACTGATCGTRTCGAATCGTAAGCTGAAAGTCGGATGGGCATTGTAATGCTAGACTGATTCGCTAATATTTTTCATTGCTTAAATTTCGTTATTGTTCGGMTCATTTTTGTTGATATTTTTGCKYRTTGTTAAAAGATTAYTRMWTWA